CGATTTCCGTTTTTTTCAGAAATATTTTGTCCGAGTCATATCTCAGAAACGGTAAGATATTAAGACACCAAACTTATATGGTTAATAGATCTTGAGGAGTAGGCAAATCCATTTGGGTTAAGATCATCAGTCGTCACTTCCGGTCGTCACAGGAAGTGATCAAAGAAATCGAAAATTTCATCTTTTCTTTTTTGAATATTTTTTTGCATCACATTATTGCATCTCATTTGTAGTTTCGAAATATGTTGGTCCCACCGGAAACAAAAACGTCAACTTCCGGCTATAAGCGAAAAACTGCATAATTTGAGTATTTTACTTTCCCATAAATATTTTTTATAGACAATGTATTTGAACTGATTTTTGAATATGTTATCAAGACTGCAAATGTCTAGAGTAACGTCAAATATCTTTGTAAAATTCACTTCCGGTCGCGCGTTTAAATGTCCACAAAATGAGAACTTGTCCCAGTGATATCTCAGAAACGGTAAGAGATTTAGACACCAAACTTATAGGAGTATTAGACCTTGAGAAGTAGACAAAACCATTTGGGTTAAAAGCGTTAGTCGTCACTTCCGGTTGTCACAGGAAGTGATCAAAGAAATCAAAAATTTCAACTTTTCTCTTTTGGAATAAGACTTGCATCATATAATTGTATCTTTTTCACAGTTACGATATGTGTTGGTCCCACCGGAAACAAAAAACGACAACTTCCGGTTATAAGAGAAAAACTACATAGTAGGGTATTTAATTTTCCGATACAAATCGCCTATATATAGAGTTCTTTAAATGATTTTTATATATGTTATTGAGACTGCAGATGTCTAGAGTGATGTGAAATATTTTAATAAAATTCACTTCCGGTCGCGTGTTTTCTTGTCCTCAAAATGAAAAGTTATTTCAGCGAGATCTCAGAAACGGCATGAAAGTAAGACACCAAACTTATAGGAGTAATACAACTTGGTGAGAAGGCAAACCACATAGGGTTAAAAACGTCAGTCGTCACTTCCGGTGATCACAGGAAGTGATCGAAGAAAACAAAAATTTCAACTTTTCTTTTTTAAAACTAAAACTTTCATCACTTTATTGCTTCCCTTTCGCTGTTTTGAAATATGTTAGATTCCACCGGGAAAAAAAACTTTAAACTTCCGGTTTTAAGAGATAAACTACGTTATTTCGTGGTTTAACTTTCTCATAAATATCACTTATAGATAAGTATTTGAAATGTTTTTACATATGCTGTAGATACTGCAAAAGTCAAGAGAAAATTTTTATTCACTTCACTTCCGGTCGCGTGTTTTCCTGTCTTCGAAATTAGAATTTGTTCTCACAATTGTTCGGCAACAGTAAAAGACTGAAGTCTAAAACTTTGAGGACTTATAGTCAGTCATCAGTTCATTTGCTTCGTGTAAAAATCGTGTGTCGTCATTACTTCCGATCGTGACAGGAAACGAAGCAAAAAAGTATTTTTTAGCTTATTTTGTTTTTACATAAGTTTTAGGCTAATACCGACGTTGGAAAAGACATGTTCATGCAAACAGGAAGTAGTATAACGGAAGACCTTCTCATTACTAGTAATGAGTTTCTAGTATTCTTAATATTATTGTATAGACGAAATTTGGTAAAGGACTATGTCCGCTCCATTTCTCCAGAACAGCTTAAGATATGAAAGTTAACTTTGTCAGATATCATAGATAATGACTTGTAGATGTCACCATGAATATTCTTTCCGTCGTCATTACTTCCGGTCGTCACAGAAATTGGATTAAAAAGTCGATTTTTTCTATTTCTTCGTCTTTCTAACTTCTTTTTTCTGTAATATTCATAGGGTATGTAAAGGCCCCTCTTTGAAGATTTTACGTATTACCAGTTTCCTGATAGGATTAAGAAGGAATTAAATATCTTTAAATATCTTAGAATTTCCGAAAACGTAGGACCAACGTTTCTTAAACACTACAGAATATTGATTTTTCCCCCGTATATATAGTCTGCGAGGACTGCTCAGTGCTCATTTACGTAGGAACTGGTGTAGAGTTAAAACCTACTGGGTGATTGGGATAGGCCAGAAAAACCTTGCCGTTGCCATGGAAACGAGTTTATATTAAATAAAAACGGTTGTATATGATATGTGTGTGCATTTTATTCGCCCCTATTTTTGTCAACTGTAGAAGACATTGCCATCTTTACCCCCCCCCCTTTTTTCTCTTTTTCGCTTTTATGTTTTGCATTCTTTATAAAATGACCTTGACTTTCATATCACAAGCAACTCTTCTTGACGTTTTTAAAATTATAAGCCTTAATTCTTTCTACAAAGTAATGCTAATTTACATGTTTATGTTCAAGACCCCCCCCCCCCCTTTCCTCGAAGCAACCAGGTAGAATACACAGATATAAAATTTACAACTTATAAGGAACTTCTTAAGAGTTTCATTAATAAAGTTCGGTTCCCCTGATGTGATTTGATATTTTACTACCATTCATTCTTCTTCTGTTTTGTCTTTAGAATTTATAATTATTTTATTTAGAATTAATTTATCTTTAGAAAGTAGTGATTGTCAGCTGCATTCATTAGCATTTCGCGTTTTCTTCTATATCTATTACTTGCATATTAATAATTTCATTAAATAATATTTAAAAGTATTAAAACTTCATTTCTATTAAATTTTATTCATTTGTAAATCCTTGGATCCGCTCCTGCAGGTGCGCGAAAGCCTCATCACTACTGTAAACAAATTATTCATCACGCCGAAAATGTTCATGATTCCGCTAAACTTAGAAAGCTTACACATAGTTTTTCATCTCATAAACAACCATCAGCCCTGTCCAATGCAGAAATGCTCGAATTGAAGGGGAAAATTCAGGAATTGTTTTGCGTCAACCATGTTTTGACGTGAACCTTACACCGCATTCTGTTATTAAGGTCTTCCGTTTCAGTCGGAAGACCTTATAGTGATTCTACTGTTTTTTCTTTTTAAGGTCTTCCGTTTCAGACGGAAGACCTTATAGTGATTGTAGTGTTTATTATTATTATTATTTTTTTTTCCCCCTTTTTCTTGCCCCCCTCGATTTCTCAGAGATGGCTGGGTGGATTTTCCTGATATTTTCAGGGGTGATAGAGAATGAAAATACCCCCAGGCGTTTTTTTCATTTTTTCAAAATTCACTTCCTGTCGTCAGATATGTCCAATTTCCTTTGTTTTCAAAAATATTTTGTCCCAGTCATATCTCA